TATTTATTTATTTACTTATTTGACAGAGACACAGCAAGAGAGGGAACACAAGCAGGGGGAGCGGGAGAAGGAGAAGCAGAAGCAGGCTTCCCGCGGAGCAGGGAGCCCGATGCGGGGCTCGATGCGGGGCTCGATCCCAGGACCCTGGGACCATGACCTGAGCTGAAGGCAGACACTTAATGACTGAGCCACCCAGGCGCCCCTAGCTAGTTTGTTCTACTGGACACTTCATATCATCAGTAAGTTAACTGAATCAGTCACTATATGAGTCTGATTTTTTTGTCCTTTTCAAAGTATTAAAAGTCTTATGACCAGGGGCGCCTGGGTAGCTCAGTCATTAAGCGTCTGCCTTCGGCTGGGGTCATGGTCCCAGGGTCCTGGGATGTAGCCCTGCATCCGGCTCCCTGCTCCGTTGGAAGCCTGCTTCTCCCTCTCCCACTTCCCCTGCTTGTGTTCCCTCTCTCGCTGGTCTCTCTCTGTCAAATAAATAAATAAAATCTTAAAAAAAAAAAAAAAAAAACCTAGCTAGGGTACAGTTACATGATGGAATAAGTGAAATAATATACTTACAAATAAAATATATACTGTATTTTGGTCTCCGGAGCTCTTGAATCAGATAATCCACATTCTCCTAGAAAGGAAACAACAAATAAATAATATGTAAGAATTGTTTAAGTGAAAAAATAATAAATACTGTTCATTAATTTATTTAAGTATTTACTGAGAGTCTACTGAGTGCTGAGGTCTAGATTTAAGTGTATGTTGTGGGGATGAGGGCTGAAGGTGAAAAAGAGATACATTAAATATAATGATCAGGAATCATCTATAATATTAATGAGCTGCATTACCTTGGCCAAATTAAGATTTAAAAATATTAAAAATACAAATGTTGAAGTATAACATAAAACTGAAAATAATTCTGCAAATTTGCCTCAGGCTGCTTATCTATAAATTATTCATCTAATCAATATTCTTAGATAGAATATCAAAATGCATCTAGTTCTTTAAAAACCAACATTCAAGAAAAAATACACTTAATTGTATTCACTTTGGCTTTTAACTTATTGGTACCTAAGACTGTACAATTGTAATGTTTGTAAAGTATTTGCAAACAGCAGGCTAAGACCTTTCATATAATTACATTATTTAAAAACAAAATATGGGGGCCCCTGGGTGGCTCATTCAGTTAAGCGTCTGACTTGTGATTCTGGCTCAGGTCACGATCTCATGGGTCATGGGATCAAGCCCAGGGTCAGGCTCCACACTCAGCGGGGAGTCTGCTTGGGGTTCTCTTTCTCCCTCTCCCTTTGCCCCTCCCCCCACTCATTTTTCTCTCAAATAAAATAAATAAATCTTAAAAAAAATAAAAATGAAATATGAAATTTAGAAGTAAAAAAAGTTGATTTTTATATGGTCAAAACATAAGAATTTCAATTACATAAGATCATAATGCAGGTTTTATCTATTTTTGATACTATTAACACATAGTTAAATTTCAATATGAATTTGGTCCCCAGTCTAAACATGATATGAAATACAGTTTTGAATGTTTAAAAAAATCATACATTTCCTAAAAGAACTAAAAATAATATAAGCAATACATATTGCTTGTTAAATGGGAAAAAAGTTTTTAAAATTGTCATTTAGATTAAAAAAATACATTAAAATTAACTTTACAACATAATCTTAAAGAAAAATCATTTTTAAAAAAGATTTATTTATTATTTGACAGCGAGAGAGACAGCAAGAGAGGGAACACAAGCAAAGGGAGTGTGAAAGGGAGAAGCAGGCTTCCTGCTGAGCAGGGAGCCTGATGCGGGGTTCAATTCCAGGACCCTGGGATCATGACCTGAGCTGAAGGCAGATGCTTAATGGCTGAGCCACCCAGGAGCCCCAAGAAAAATCATTTTTAAGAACACATTTTATATATATATACATATATATATATATATATAAAGAGGTTCTCTAATGAAAATTATTAGGATATGATGGACTAGATGATCTCTAAGATCCCTCTCAGCACCAAACTTTCATGAGCTACAAACGTGAAAAACTGGAAATGACTGTAACACAGTATTAATGTATTCATTAATTCAGGAACTTTTTATTGAGGTCCACCATGTAGCAGGCACTGGAGACAAAACAGTGTGAAAAAACAGATACCATCTCTACTTTCATGGAGCTTACTGCTGGTAGTTGAGACAGATATTAATCAAACCATATAAAACTTCAACTACGACAAACAAAAGGGAGAAGAAGATGGTGCTGTACGTGCTTATAAGAGGGGGGTTTGACTTGGACAGCAAAACCAGGGAAGATTTGCGGGAGGAAGTAAAGAAGTTCCAAGCAGAGGGAAGCGCCTGCGCAAAGGTCCTGTGGCATGATGGAACAAAGTGAACTGAAAGATTAATGTGGCTAAGAGCAAAAGGGGGAATTGAAATAAGGCTGTAGGAATGACAGGAACTAGACCACACAGAACCACAATTAAGGAGTTTTGCCTTTAGCATAAAAACAATGAGAAGTCATTCAAGGATTTCAAGTGGGGGTGACATGATCAGATTTGTATTTTAGAAAAAATATAATACACAAGCATGATAAAAGAGTGCATTGGAGTTGAAGATCATGAATATAAAGAGAATATACAAAATAAGGTTAAAATAGTATAGGAGTTTTATAGGAGGACTCAAGCTAGATTTGGAAAATGATGGATGAAAATGGACAGAAGGCTAAAGAACCTTTAATTAGGGGAAGAGAACGAATAGAAAAGAGGAATGAGCATGTAGAGGGATGATAAAAAGGCACAGTTGGCAATAGTGGAGGAGCAGAGATTGGACATAGGAGGCTGGATACATAAAGGCAGACCAAACCAGCTAAAGAAGGGATTTAAGGACTGGGCTACTAAAGATTGATTTAATCATGGAAGTAAAATTGAGCCATTATATGTTCCTGTGCATAGATATGAATAAAATGATACAGACTCAAGATATTGGTATAGGTGCATAAGTATATAAGATTAAGCAGCAATGGTGTTCAGTGTGATAGGTATGGATGTTAATCCAGGAATTAAGTGATGTGGGTCTCTGCTAGGATAGTTAGTGGCTTGGGAAGTAGCTGGGAACCTAAAAGGCATCTTGGAGGAAAAACTGTAAGGAGTAAACTGAGATGTGGAAAGCAGGAGAATCAAGGTTATAACTCTGATGAACCAGGTTAATTATGATGCCATAAATGATAATACAAATTTATTTTGCTTTCTTTTTTTTTTTTTTTTTTAAGATTTTATTTATTTGACAGAGAGAGACACAGCGAGAGAGGGAACACAAGCAGGAGGAGTGGGAGAGGGAGAAGCAGGCTCCCCGCTGAGCAGGGAGCCCGATGCGGGGCTTGATCCCAGGACCCTGAGATCATGACCTGAGCCGAAGGCAGACGCTTAACGACTGAGCCACCCAGGCGCCCCTTATTTTGTTTTCTTAATGCTTTCATATCAGAGTGTTCTGTATTTGCCTGGGCAAATGACAGCTCAGTACGTACCTTCGTAGGACGAAGAAAACAAATTGCTTTCAGGTGTTTCATGATCTCTCGATTTTGAGAATCAATGCGTTCAAAAAGGTACACTTCCTTCTGAAGAATCTCTGATTGTGTGTATACCATACTCACTATGCCAGTCTGTAAAGAAAAAGATTTAACTAATATTATGCTAGTCAAAAATAATATAAACAATCAGCAACAACTAAGACTTAAAATTTTTTTCATTAATACCTAGCTGGATAATGTAAATATTAACATATGTAACATTTACTGAGCATCCAGAACATGTAGGTAATGTACCAGGATGAAAAGCATGTTCTCTCTGAACACAGACAATCCATAAATTTCAAAAAGAAATTTTTTCCATCACCTTAGAGTGTTTTTTTTTTTTAAATAAATCTGTGACCAACAAATAATAATCTGTTATCTCAGCTTGAGCACTAACAGCTTTATTTTAAAAACACAACGGTGACTGGAAATAAAAGTCTTCCAAATGTTCTGTCTCACATATTATTTCTTGCCAAAGACATTTAGAAAAGGACTTCTGATTCCAATAAATTGTTCCGGGTAGAAGAAAGCTCTGGTGGTAGTTAGAACCATTTACACTGAAAACCTGCTAGACAAGCTTTATACCACCTCTCAGTTCCACACAGAACTGACCCTCGCTTCAAAATCTTTAATTAAATACCAAATCTTACAGTGGAGTGGGAGTAGCTATTACAAGGGAGGGAGAGGTCCCTCACAAACAAAATACCGAGCAAAAGCAAACTCACCGTCTCTTTATCCATGAGGAGTACTTTCATACCCGGTCCGCTGTCCTCTATCATTTTGGAAACGTACTGTTTCACAGCAAAAACCACGTTCATGGTGGCGAATTGACAGGTTAACCCTACAGCCCTTCCCGCCCCCTTTTCTCTTGCTAAATTAACCCCCGGCCTTTTGGCCGGGTCTCAGCGGCTTCCTCCCCGCCCGGCTTCGGCTTCCGGAAGTCCGGGCAGCTCCTACGGTGCTGGGAGTTGTAGTTCCGCTGCGCGGAGCCGGCGACCGAGCCTCCCGGCTGAATGGAAACGTCCCGCTGAGACCCCCCCCACCGGGTCGCAACGCTCGGAAGTGATTCTCTACCCACGTCCAGCCTGGAGCTGTTTGAGGCCCGGACTCAGACCCCGGCGGGCCGTGGGTCCGGGGTGCCCCGGCTGCCCCCGAAAGCCTCTCCTGCTGGCTAGGGGAGAGACTAGCCGCTCGCGGCGTGGAGGAACTTGGCATCAGGCTGGCTTGGAGGCAAGAACGCAGAGTGTAGCCGTGGTCACTATTTGCCATTAACACTTTCTTGGGTGGCAAGTGAAGGATTAAGGGAAGAGAGCTGGCGTGATGGCTCCCGGCCGCTCGGAAAAGTCTAAGAAATGGTCGAGATTCGTCCTCCCCCGTTTCATCGTGTCATTGACAAGGCGAGGACAGTACTCCTGCAAAGTGAGGCCCGAATTGGTTTTCTGAATGCCCTTGAGGGATGTTTTGGGAGCGGCCTCAGATCCGCTCCCCGGGAGGGCTGGGAGCTGAGTCGGCAGCGGGGACTCGCAGGGCGCGTGAGGGACCCCGGGTTTGGCGCCCCGGGCGACCGGACTCCGCGGGCTCCCGCTGAGCGGGTACGAGGGACCCGCGGCGCTGAAACTTTGGGCAGGAGCCCAGTTAGTCAGAAATGGGTAGGGGGCACGTATTCGGTGGGGCTAAAGCAAAGTAGCGTGGGGATTTTAAGGGAAAACTCACAAATTTTGATTTAAGAAACAACAAAAACTTAGCCACAAAATGAGTCTTAAAACCATCAACTTCTAAATGTTTGCATTTGTGTTTAATACTCCAAAGGTCTTCTCTCCTTTATGCCATTTCTCGAAAAGGAGGGGAAATGTTAGTTTTCCCACACCTTTACGTTAGGGAATTGAAAAATCAGGAAGATAATAAGAAACAACTGCAAGAAATCAGCAACTATAATTGCTTGTAAATATTTCCACGAAAATAGTGACCAGTGTTTGTTAGGGTCACTTTAATCAATAGATTCAACATTACCAAATCATTCTTTCGTTATATTTTAAGAAGTACACAATTAAAACTAGACCCAGAGCACGTTAACATTAAACTGGCTATTAAGATTACTTTATAGGGCGCCTGGGTGGCTCAGTTGGTTAAGCGACTGCCTTCAGCTCAGGTCATGATCCCGGGGTCCTGGGATCGAGCCCCGCGTTGGGCTCCCTGCTCCGCAGGAAGCCTGCTTCTCCCTCTCCCACTCCCCCTGCTTGTGTTCCCTCTCTCGCTGTGTCTCTCTCTGTCAAATAAATAAATAAAATCTTTAAAAAAAAAGATTACTTTATAAAACTTTATATACAATTATCAGGTCCTTTAAGGGAGCTCAGAAGCCACCTATCATAGATTTTTGTCACCTCTGAAATTGTGAGGAATGTGTTTATTTTCTTTTCAATTTTTCTACCGTGTAAATAAAACTTCCCATTGGGCTTTTTATCAATTTTTGAATTATGTTTTGAAAGAAAAGTTATATGAAAATGCGAACTTTAAATGGATACACGTGAGAAAAATCTAATTTATATAAAATTCTATTATTAACTTAAAATGTTAAGATTTAAAATATATTAATATATTTAAAATACATTACAATTTAAAATACAGAACACAATGAACCAGTGAAATACCTGCAAATACTGTAAGTTATCAATATTTGAAAATTCACCTCATTTAGACTTCAGTATAAGATTGTTTTCCACTTTATGCATTTTTTAGAAAAAACAAGGAGAGAAAGTCTTTTCTATGAAATTTGTGCTTTTTTAGACAGTAATCAATATGTAAATAATACTTTTATTTATAGTTGGACAATTATAACATTTTAGAGGAGAAGGAAAATGCCTGTTTTGACAAGGCTTAGTAATTCACTCCATTGCCCAAGAAGTTCCATTGATGTCAGTGGCAGTGATATTTTGTACGTTGATAAGATGCAGAATGTAAACATTCTGTACAAAATAGTTATAATTTAAAGAATGCTGTGATAGTCCTAAAGTTTGCAAGCCTATTGTGAGAAATAAATGAAATAATGTGCAGAAAAAAATGTGCCTGGCACATACTAAGTGCTCAGTAAATAGCAACCTTATTTGTTTATTTTTAAAGATTTTATTTATTTGAGAGAGAGTGAGAGAGAGCACGAGTGCTAGGAGTGAGAGAGGGAGAAGCAGGCTCCCAGCTGAGCAGGGAGCCCACCTCGAGGGCTCTATCTCAGGACCCTAGGATCATGACCTGAGCCAAAGGCCCACGCTTAACCGACTGAGCCACCCAGGTGCCCCTCAGCTTTAATTATTTAAAATCAAAAGGTACAGAAACCTGGGTGACTCAGTCGGTTAAGCACCTGCCTTCGGCTCAGGTCATGATCTCGGAGTCCTGGAATCAAGTCCCATGTCCAGCTCCTCGCTCAGCGGGGAACAAGCTTCTCCCTCTGCCTGCCGCTTGCTGTGCTTGTGCTTGCTCTTTCTCTCTGGCAAATAAATAAATAAAATCTTTTTTAAAAAAATCAAAAGGTAGATATATCTTTTAGCTTATTTTTTACATCCAGTATATTTTATTCCTCTTTGACAAGAAAATCTTATAATCAATTTCAGAATCTGTAAACTACAGTTTCTGAATATGATTTCTATAATATGTTTATCTTGCATTACTATATGATAATAGAAGTGTCGATGGGAAGAATTGGGCTGCTCCTTCATAATTTGTAAACCATATATTTTTCACAGAGGTAAAACTTAGGAAAAATATGCTTCAAGTTCCTTCAGAGGCTTAGTGATTACCCAACCTCAAATCAAACAGTTTGTTAAGCTTTTGTCACAGTTGGTGGTTTAATACTGAACTTTATGGTAGCAAAAACAATGAATTGCTTTAAACCATTAAGTAAAAATTATTTGCATGAAGGGTTCTGTCTGCACATTCAGTAGTTTGGGTGGTTTCATCTTTCTGATGGTGATACTAACTTTGATCACTTGGTTAGGTGGTGTCTGTGGGTTTCTCCACTGTAAAACTATTTTTCTCCTTGTAATTAATATATGCAAATAGATAAAGGGGATTAAGAGGTAAAAACTTGCAGTTATAAAATAAACAAGTCACGGAGATGAAAAGTATAGCATAAAGAATATAGTCAACAATATCGTAATAATATTGTATGATGACAGACGGTGATTCTTATCGTTATGAGGGTTGAGGAATGTATAGAATTGTTGAATCAATATGTTGTACACCTGAAACTAATGCAACATTGTATGTTAATTATACTTCAATTTAAAAATGTATACCTAAAGCAAAAATAAATAAAAATATCACAGGGAGAGATTCCTTGATGTGCTGCAAATGTCCTATTTCTTCATTGTACTTGTTATACCTACTAATTTTAACTGGAATCCATTGATGGGTCTTGCCTGCAACCATTGGTGTTTACCTGATGGTAATTATTTTTCTCATTTCTTCTGCAGTTATTGTTTGGAATTCCTCTGTAAAAAAGAGCTATACTCTCCCCCCCCTTTTTTAAATTTATTCAATCATTTATTTATGTCAGACTCATGGATATTTAAGAAAATTACTTTTAAGTAGTAGGAAGGATATGTAGAGGTTGAGAGTGCAGCCTCTGAAATCAGGCAACCTGGTCTGGATTCTGCTGAATCCTGGCTGCAGGACTTTGGCAAGTTACATAACCACTCAGTGCCTTAGTTTCCTCATTTGTAGATGGAGAAAATAACATCTACCTCAGGCTGGGATGAGCATTAAGTGAGTTAATACGTGTAGTTGTTAGCCTAGCTTTAGTACTTTTTCTTCGTGAGTATTTTTAACGGTTGTAAGTTTTACTGTTTATAGGTTTCCCCACCTACAAACTGAGTATTAAAATACTTGACACACAGGGGCGCCTGGGTGGCTCAGTCGGTTAAGCATCTGCCTTTGGCTCAGGTCATGATCCCAGGGTCCTGGGATCGAGCCCCGCATCGGGCTCCCTGCTCATCCGGGAGCCAGCTTCTCCCTCTCCCTCTGCCACTCCCCCTGCTTGTGATATCTCTCTCTCTCTCTAAAATAAAGAAATAAAATCTTTAAAAAAAATTACTTGACACACAAATGGTAGCTGTGCTTGTGGTGAGCATAGCATAAGGTATAGACATGTTGATTCACTATGTTGTTCACCTGAAAATAACGTGTGTCAACGATACTCCCATTAAAAAAAAAAAGGGAAGAACATCAGAGAAGAAAGAAATGAAGGTAAAATAGCAATGAACAAACAAATACATTTTCATGTGCTTGCCTCCCTGAGAAATTATTAAAATTCACTTCTGAAATGAATTCAGAATTGTAATGTTAATGAGATGCATAAGTTCTTATTTCAAAAAAAAGATTGAACTAGAATTTTGCTAAGATCTCTTTTATGATCATAATGCTGTTCTTGAGTTACTCTCTGTGTTAGAAACATAAATGACCATGAAATGTGATGAAATTATTTTTAACATTTAGATGTTTCAAGAGAATAGGCAAGCCATGTTAAGTAAGTATCAGAAAATACATGTTCTTATAAATCCTTAAATTTCTTAGTGGTAAAGGAATTTTAATTATATTTTTATATTGAAATAATTCCTTTAGAAATGGCTCATTATTGACTTGATCAAGCATTTGATCAGGATTACTTGTTTTTCTTCACTAGAAAGAATAGTGTTAAAAAATAAGATACAAAATATTTTGTTTATACATCTATTTGAAACAAATTTAATGTAGGAGTTTATTCAGGATTTCTCTTAATATATTTTTTAAAATTTTTATTTATTTATTAGTGGTGGAGGGGGCGAGGAGCAGAGGGAAAGGGACAATCTGACCCCACGCTGAGCCCGGAGCCCAACTCAGGGCTCAATCCCACGACCCTGAGATCATGACCTGAGCCAAAATCAAGAGCCCAGCGGTCAACTGACTGAGCCATCCAGGTGC